AGGCCGAGTTATACAGCAGAAGGGAAATATGATCAAGGGGAAGGTAAGCTCAATGTCAAATAAAGGTTGCAGTGACCTAGTTTCGGTAAGCGACACACCTTCTCCCCAAGATGTGTAAGTATACAAAGTTTGCTTGCGCTAGGTCAATTAGAGGCCGAGTTATACAGCAGAAGGGAAATATGATCAAGGGGAAGGTAAGCTCAATGTCAAATAAAGGATGCAGTGACCTGGTTTTGGTACGCGACACACCTTCTCCCCAAGATGTGTAAGTATACGAGGTTTGCTTGCGCTAGGTCAATTAGGGGCCTCATTATAGAGCGGAAGGAAAATATGATGAAGGTCAATGTCAAATAAAGGTTGCAGTGACCTGGTTTCGGTATGCAACACACCTTCTTCCCAAGATGTGTAAGTATACCAAGTTTGGTCGTGCTAGGTCAATTAGGAGCCAAGTTATAGAGCAGAAAGGAAATATGATCAAGGTCAAGGTCAAGGTCAAATAAAAGCCGCAGTGACGTGGTTTTGGTCTGCGACACACATTCTCCCCAAGATGTGTAAGTATACCAAGTTTGATAGTGCTAGGTATATTAGGGGCCGAGTTATAGAGCGGAAGGGAAATATAATCAATGTCAAGGTCAAATAAAGGTCGCAGTAACCTGGTTTTAGTACGCGACACACCTTCTCCCCAAGATGTGTAAGTATACCAAGTTTGGTAGCACTAGGTCAATTAGGGGCCGAGTTATAGAGCCGAAGGGAAATATAATCAATGTCAAGGTCAAATAAAGGTCGCAGTAACCTGGTTTTGGTATGCTGCACACCTTCTCCCCAAGATGTGTAAGTATACCAAGTTTGGTAGCGCTAGGTCAATTAGGGGCCGAGATATAGAGCGGAAGGGAAATATGATCAAGGTCAATGTCAAGGTAAAATAAAGGTCGCAGTGACCTGGTTTTGGTACGCGACATACCTTCTCCCCAAGATGTGTAAGTATACCAAGTTTGGTAGCGCTAGGTCAATTACGGGCAGAGTTATAGAGCGGAAGGGAAATATGATCACAGTCAAGGTAAAGGTCAAATAAAAGTCGTAGTGACCTGGTTTTGGTTCGCTGCGCATCTTCTCCCCAAGATGTGTAAGTAGACTATGTTTGGACACGCTAGGTCAATTAGGGATCGAGTTATAGAGCGAAAGGGAAAGTGTCTGCGGCGGCAGCGGCTGGACAGACATGAAACCATAGTATCCCCGCCGACTTCGTCGCGGGGGATACAATAATTATTTATAGTTGGCTATGTCAGAGTAGCAGAGTTCTGCCCACGGTGGGCGGCAGTGGGCGGGTGTGCCCACTCTCTCTCTTTAAGATGCGGCACAAAGTTACTTTTTAAAAAACAACTTATATCCTCACAGCAAGGTGCATCACAATCAATGGTCCTAGCTATTAATCCCACTAAACAAATATTTAACATTTTTTATATCAACTTTTTATTAATATTATTTTTTATAAATCCTGACAAACGAGAAATGGCATGTTGCATTATTAAACTATGCTTAAAATAAAAACGATGATGAAAATGATTGCTGTCATGGGGCTTTAACACTAAAGAACCAGGTGCGTAGCTGCCTAAGTTTAGGCAAAAAGGCATGTGCCTGCACATCATTTTCAAAAAAATGGTTAAACAAATTATGTCAAAAAGAATTTTTACAATATACACGAAACAACATACATAAATAATATACATAAAAAAGATATGCCCCACTCCACACTATAGTGTGTTCTATTCTAGTTCTAACTTCTATACACACTGAATGATTGAGCAATGATAGGTAAATCTCACAACAGAGATGAAAATTGCTCTCTTGTTTGTTGTGGCGATTGCCTAATCTAGGGGCCTAGCCACCCCCTTCTGGTCAATGAACAATATTTTTACACACTTACCAATTAATTCTTGCCAAGTATAATAGTCGCGTACGTGTGGAGGATAATAATGTTAGGATAGACTCACCATTTGCTGACAGTGTGCCTGCCAACACGTGTTCATCTGTTTTAGATACAAAGGACTGTTCACGGAATCAGTAAGAAATGTTAAGGAATATTCCTTATATATTCTGCATAATATTAATAATGTCTGAAAGCAAATTTAAGATTAAAATCCTACAGAGATGGACACATAAGTATGTATCTTGTTTAAAAGTAAATACAACATCGTTCATTCGTAAACAAAACAAAATTCATCAGTTAAATCATAAATCGTTAATCATAAATTATTTATACACCAAAACAACCAATACAACTCAATTAACTTCTTCCATCACACTGTTAATAGGTTGTATGGCTGCCAACTGCTAACACATTAGTTCTTGATGTTTTCCAACTGTGACCCATATTCTAATCGTGTGCCTTCAAACATCTCAGCTGTCAATTTGGAGCTCGGATGATCACTGGGAACTCTTATTAGCAACCCACTTAAAATGGAGGAGAGACCTAGTTGAAGGTCGCGACACATGGGTTAAGAAAGCCTCCTGCTAAGAGGTACTACTTTATGCGAGCAGAGTGAAGAGCATTACAACAAGGCCAGGAACCCGCTAGCTTCAATCGGACAGCAGTTATTTACATCAGCGGTCAAAATTAACATGATTCATGGAGACAGATACTCCGATTCACTGTTGGACATCCTGACTTGCTATCTGTAAGTGTCCCCATGACTCCCAGAGAATTCTCGTACACACAGAGTTATAAAGATACAATAATTATAATCCTGGAATCCCAAATACAAATCTATTAGCCTCCTCTTCTGCCTCAAACTTTTATAAGCATACAAGAGCATTTGATCCTGCTAGAACGAACATTCTTTCAATGTTTTTTTTTCAAAAAAAAAGGATATGCTAGGAACTGGCTGACATTCGACTTGACGTGTTCATCACATAAAACTCTGAGTTGTTCGTATAGCAGAGGGGCCATCTTATGAGAGCACATGTTTTCGACGGCTTGATACAGCTCTTCGAGACTCGACTTGATGGACGTGCTCTTGTGAATAGCAATGACGGCTTCTTTCAGCTTATCCCACGTCTGCTGTTGATAATTCTCTGGCAATTTAGGTTTGTCTAGAAAAAAAGAAAAAAAGAAAATAAGATCTACCTATAGAAATACATGTGTGTATCAAATGTGAGTGCAGAAACACATTTTGGCATTACTGACGATGAAATTGTTAGATTACATGTAAAATTACACAGAGACGTGCATGTTTTACGCCAGACAGATGTTTTAGGTTATTGTTACACTATTATTATACTTGATGCTATTTTGCCACAAATTTACCTCTTATATTACTACACATAATCATGCGCACTTGTAAATGTTTATAAAACCTGACATTTTAATCTTAATATCGTGTTATCTTATTTAGATAGTTTCCTTGTCATTATAATGCAGTCAATCCACAGCAATTTATCTCACTAGATACATAAATAAACTAGAAAGGGCAGTTGTCGCCAACTACATGTATGAATGTATCCCCCGTGATCTAGTATGAATGAAATATCTCTGTAAGGACGTAGAAGGTAGGTAAAGTTAAATAAGTAACAAAGATAAAGGTCTGTTACACAACTCATCTGCCTGAGATGTGCAAGTATGTTAAAATTGGTTGCCTTAGGGGTTTTGGTACGCGACACACCTTCTCCCCAAGATGTGTAAGTATACGAAGTTTGCTCGCGCTAGGTCAATTAGGGGCCGAGTTATAGAGCGGAAAGAAAATGTGATGAAGGTCAAGGTCAAATAAAGGTTGCAGTGACCTGGTTTCGGTAAGCGACACACCTTCTCCCCAAGATGTGTAAGTATACCAAGTTTGGTCGCGCTAGGTCAATTAGGGGCCGAGTTATAGAGCAGAAAGGAAATATGGTCAAGGTCAAGGTCAAGGTCAAATAAAAGCCACAGTGACGTGGTTTTGGTCTGCGACACACATTCTCCCCAAGATGTGTAAGTATACCAAGTTTGGTAGTGCTAGGTAAATTAGGGGCCGAGTTATAGAGCGGAAGAGAAATATGATCAATGTCAAGGTCAAATAAAGGTCGCAGTAACCTGGTTTTAGTACGCGACACACCTTCTCCCCAAGATGTGTAAGTATACCAAGTTTGGTAGCGCTAGGTCAATTAGGGGCCGAGTTCTAGAGCAGAAGAGAAATATAATCAAGGTCAAGGTAAAGGTTAAAAAAAAGTCGTAGTGACCTGGTTTTGGTATGCTGCACACCTTCTCCCCAAGATGTGTAAGTATACCAAGTTTGGTAGCGCTAGGTCAATTAGGGGCCGAGATATAGAGCGGAAGGGAAAGTGTCTGCGCGGCGAGCGGCTGGACGACATGAAACCATTAGTATCCCGTCGACTTCGTCGCGGGGATACAATAATTATTTATAGTTGGCTATGTCAAGGAGTAGCAGGCGTTCTGCCCACGGTGGCGCAGGCAGTGGGCGGGTGTGCCCACTCTCTCTCTTTAAGATGCCGGCTCAAAGTTACTTTTTTTAAAACAACTTATATCCTCACAGCAAGGTGGCATTACAATCAATGTCCTAGCTATTAATCCCACTAAACAAATATTTAACATTTTTTATATCAACTTTTTATTGTTATATTTTTATAAATCCTGACAAACGCAGAAATGGCATGTTGCATATTAAACTATGCTTAAAATAAAAACGATGATGAAAATGATTGCTGTCATCGCGGGCTTTAACACTAAAGAACCAGGCGCGTAGCTGCCTAAGTTTTAGGCAAAAAGCATGTGCCTGCATATCATATTCAAAAAAAATGGTTAAACAAATTATGTCAAAAAAGAATTTTTACAATATACACGAAACAACATACATAAAAAAGATATGCCCCACTCCACACCTATAGTGTGCTTCTATTCTAGGTCTAACTTCTATACACACTGAATGATTGAGCAATGCATAGGTCAATCTCACAACAGAGATGAAAATTGCCTCTCTTGTTTGTTGTGGCGATTGCCTTAATTAGGGGCCTAGCCACCGCCTTCTGGTCAATGAACAATATTTTTACACACTTACCAATTAATTCTTGCCAAGTATAATAGTCGCGTCGTCACTCGCGCGGCTGTACAAAACGGCACCTGATGCATGGGTTAACTAGAAACGCAGCCAGTTGTCGCCAACTACATGTATTACCCCGTGAATCTAGTATGAATGGAATATCTCTGTAAGGACGGTAGAAGGCAGGCTAAAGTAAAATAAGTCACAAAGACACAAAGGTTTGTTAGACAACTGGTCTGCCTAGATGTGCAAGTATATGGAATCTGGTTACCCTAGGAGGCGAAGAGGAAATGTAAGTCGAGCGGTGAAGCGTCAAACTAAGGTCAAGGGGCAGTGGTGATTTTGGTATGCGACAGACCTTCTCCCCAAGATGTGTAAGCATACCAAGTTTGTCGGCGCTAGGTCAATTAGGTGGCCGAGTTAAGAGAGGGCGAAGGGAAATATGATCAAGGTCAAGGTAAAGGTGCAAATAAAGGTCGCAGTAACCTGGTTTTAGTACTCTGCACACCTTCTCCCCAAGATGTGTAAGTATACCAAGTTTGGTAGCGCTAGGTGAATTAGGGGGCCAGAGTTACAGAGCGCGAAGGGAAATATGCATCCAGGTCAAGGTAAAGGTGAAATGAGATCGCAGCTGACCTGGTTTTGGTAATGTGCCACACCTTCTCCCCAAGATGCCAAGGTGCCATTTAGGTAAAGCGAAGAGCGCCAATCGTTTTTTGGTTGTGGGCGAAGTCATCGTTGCCATGGTAACAACATTTTTGTGGAAATATTGCAGAACCTGTAACTTGTGCTGTTTCTACCAATTGTCATGGAATTTGGCACACAGGGCCCGATATAACATGTCCTATATATATATATATTGGTCCTGTGTGCCAAATTTCATGACAATCGGGTAAAAACTGCAGAAGTTACAGGTTATAGAATATTTCGACAAAAATGTTGTTACCATGGCCAACGATGACTTCGCCCACACCAAAAACGATTGCGCGTCTTCGCTTGACGGTAATGGCACCTTCATGCGAAATTTAAAGCATGATCGAGAAAGAACTGCAGCCGTTTAGAGCGCTCACAAGGAAATCTCTGCGGCGGGCGCGACGAGGCCAAATCCATATAGTATCCCTGTCGTACCCAAACTTGGAATCTGCCCACAATCTCGAGATTGTGCGCAGGCGATTGGCTGCCCAAACTTGCGGATTCCCTAGTTTGGGCTGACCAATCTCAAGATTGGGCAAACTGAAAACAGTCGCGTGATTCAACAACCGCTCATAGCGCACGTGCGTGGCGTGCGTGGTGCAACTAGGAAGAGATTTATCTCATATTTATCCAATTATTTATTATAATCATTTAATATTTATACAAAGGCTGCCAAACACATTGAGGAAAGAAGGTATACGACCTTATAGTTATGATATAACATTTGAAATCCTAATAATCATATGTGTGTGCAAGACCGTGCAAGCCCTGTTTACCTCTGTTTGCCCAATCTCAAGATTGGTTGCGCCAAAACTGCGGATTGCGCTGAAATTCCAAGTTTGTGCAAGATTCCAAGTTTGGCACAACATCCCCCCCCCCCCGAACTCGTTCGGGGATAGAATTATGTAATTGAGAGGCGAAGCAGGTTACAACCCTTTTGCAGCTTTTTCACAATTCCAAGAAAGAGTCTTGCTGTCGCTCTCATTCCAGCGGTGGTTACCCCCTACATATTCAATAATAAACACGACCTAAACAATGCCCCCCCCCCCTCTGTATATCAATCAATGCTGCGCTGCAAGCGCAAGAATTGTTCTACTAAAAATAGAATTGTCGAAGTCAGAATAAAGGCTGTACATGTACTCAAAAGTACCTCAAATACCATCTCCTGCGGTCTACATTTTCAAAATTTTCTGGGGGGGGGGGCAGGGACCCACATACCCCCGCCTGTTTTTCAGTTCTGCCTGCACATCATTGAAGGGCTAGCTACGCCCCTGACAACAGTCCTTGAATTTTCATTTTGACAGAATTTCCAACCCTACAACTTACAAGACCTCCATGCTGCATCTTCTAAGTTCTAGTGCAAAACCCTATCATACTCTGAACAACTTGTTCAATTTATTCTGGTTGTCAAATGTGTTTTTCCGTGCATCTGGATCTTTTTGGTATTATGTCAATCACGCCCATGGCTACGGTCATTAACACACTGAACACAGCTGGTCTTCACTGTTCACATAGTGTAGGCACAGTACAACAAGTACAAGCTATCTAGGGACCACTCTTGCGTGCTGTCCACCACTACATAGCATAGGCCTACTGTTCACCAGTGTTACAGAGAATGAACTTTAGACTGTTTGGCTCGTTTTACTGTAACAATAACGTTATCACGCTACCGGCACCTGTGGCTGTGATTGTGTAGTATGCCTTTCAAGTTATGCCTTATGTTATTATGGCATGGTACACGGCGTTTACTTTTTGAAAACGTAGGCCTACTTTCAGTAGTTGTTCACCTACCTTTAAAATTCTTAATGATGAGTTTCCTTGTTGAAACGGGCTTGTTGGCAACAAGTGGCGATGCATGGTTTCTGTTGACACCGTTCGGACCACTGAGTGAAGAGAAATTCGGTTTTCTTTCGGAATCAGTCATCACGTCAACAATGTCCTCCTTCTCGACTGCGCACTTTTTAGACGGGCGATGATTGTTACCAGATCCCTTTCTCTTTCTTGAATGATTCGTTTCTTCTGACTGCTGGTGCTCGTGAAGCGGTATTCTAGCTGAACTAGACATATGCATTCATAGTCAATTTGGGCACGAGAAGCCCAATTTATCCACAAGTTTTCAAGGACTATATTCGCAAACTTTCTTAGTTTGCTAATAATGGCGACGAATGGAGCATAGGTGGCGCCATCTATTGTTAATAATTGCTTAAATTGTTAATAATGCTTAATTTGTGGGAAAGGAGACCCTGGAGCACTTTTTACTAGAATGTCCTGGATATGAAAACCATAGAAAAAGTTTTTTTAATATGATTAAACGTAGAACAGGTTTGGAGGCAAGAGAAACCTCACATGACATGCAGGAGGAGCTCTTAAAAACTCTCCTGGGGTTTAGGGTTGGCAGCAGCCTTATTACTATAGTTCAGCTTACTACCTGAAGATACTTTGGGGAGCTAGATCAGCTGCACTCACAAATCTATAAGGGGATACGGAATGAATTTTCTCTTTTCTTTTTTTTCTTTTTTTGGAGGGAAATACCGATCTAAATGTTCCCAGTCATACATACACATACATACATACATACATATCAGGAGTAGATAATAGGGAATAATAATCTATTCCCACAAGTAGAATGGGTTGACCTGAGTAATGTGGTTTCTGGTCATTGGTTTCTATGTACAATATTAGTATATATTGATTCGATGTACTTCAAATCTAGACGCCATCAAGTACATCGTGATAATTTGAGGATATGATGAAAAAATTCATATTCGAT